GGTCTGGTCAGATGTGAACGGGACGGATCACGGCATATGAATGTTCTCGAGTGACTCGGACGAGAACCATCGAAGCGTCCCTTCGCCTGATATGACCTGGCTTGGGTTATTGGTGCTTCAGGATACCGAAACCAACTCTGAAGGAACTCGTTTTCTTCTGCTGCTTTATTTACGCCGTATAGAGGCCTAGCCAGGTCAATCTTCGGTTCGACGGACTTATGTCGACCTTTGTCTCTCTTTATGGTCTATTAGAGAAACGGTGGACATATCTCGAGTCCATGTATTTCATGTCTATAAATATTCACCTGCTTTGGTCCCAAGAGACGATTATAAATCGCTCATCGCGATTGCAACACCTTTCCATCACCAAGCAGGATCGGTGCCGCGTGCTGGCGTCAGCTAACGCAAGCATATGTTTCTCATTTTCTTCCTGCCAAATCTGATATAAAGGCACCATTGCGACACCCAGGTCCTTACTCCATCACCAAGCAGGAATGGCTCTGGGTGTCGGAAAAACAGCCCAGGAAGAAACAACTTTCTCTGGGGACCACGTTCCAGACCTACGGAACCAAGTAGATACGCCTGGTTTCAGTTGTGGCATCACAGGAGTGATCTTGTCAATGAAGATGGTTTCTATTTCTACTTTGTGGGTGTTCCTACCGTCTCTCTAGTGCGTGTCTACTACGAAGTTTTCGACCTACATTTTCAGACTCAATTTGCTCCTCCGATTAGAGCAGATGCTTGTCAAACTGAATATTGACAATTCGCCTGCGAGACCGTTTCACATTGGCCAACGTACATGATGAATCTTTCTGAAACTCGGCTATCTCCATATATAACCCCTCACTGCTCAGGCCAAATCCAATATTTGACATTCAATAGCGTGTCTTCGGATCCAGAAACTTATCTCATCAGAAGGCCACTTGGTGTGAGCCTTTCTCGACCTATCCAGCCTCGGTTGAGCCATTACAGAACAGCAACCTTATATACAATTCGATAAGATGCACGCATCTGCTCTTGTTCAGCACGCTACTTCTAACTATTCCGGATCGATGCTATGGCTTAGTACCAGCCGAACATGCTTTTCATCCGGAGTCCGATGATGACTTCGATATCATGCGGGAAAGATGAATTTTCACGGTATATCGGCCTGTGTCAAGGTCCATACCACCGGCGAATTACCCATCTCAATTTCAGCGACCTCTACTGGGAAATGCTGCTGAGCGAGACTTAAAGAGAGGATTTAATGAAACATGATGACGATCGGAGGATCTATTGCCTGCAGAAGTATGGGAAGTCGTTGGTATCTGGCTGAAGATAACAGGATCAGACGTCGGACTTCCCTTCAACGCGGACCGAATTTCTGCGACAGGTTACTTGGACAAGCATCTGGATATCATCACGAGAGCAGACATACGATGTTTGAACACGCGGTGGCCGTCAGCTCGCAAGGATGTGGCGTCCTGTGACTGCGACAAAGAAAGAAATAAAACTGAAGACTTCAATGATAAAACTGGTGGGTGGGATCCCTCATCCATTAAGTGTGTTCATCTGGACCTCCAAAGGAAACGCAATCGCTGTCTTCTCCTGGAGAAATCAACGTACAACCAGTAGGGGTGGTCAAAGACGGTTCGAACAGGGGGGTGTGCGTTCGTGATTATTAACCTATGATATTCAATGTCGTTAGACCACTGTATCGCGGGTGTGAAGTATATCAAACCCCTGCATTAGATATTCCATAGCTCTTCATTCCCTACGTTTCTGAGAATCCATGTACACAAATCATACTATTCAATCAACATCTGGCACCACTCTTCTCGGTCACTGTACTGATTTCACCAATGCTGACTGCTTCACCTGATTTTTGCCACTCTCGAATATATAATTTCGCTCGTTTCCCTAGTACTCCATCTGTTCTAGGAAAGTCTTTTCGCGCCAGAACTCTGTCCACTTTGAAAGGGTCCTGGAATGGGCGAAAGACCCAAAATTGGTATTCTCACACGCCTAAAGCATGTCTCTCGTTGGCAGACGGCCCAGCGTTTTGGCAGGATGGGTCTGTCAAAAACGCAGTTTCGTTGAGCAGAGCAATTCCCTATTTCCAGATCGACTTCGTGAGAAGGCTTTAGGTCACGAATGTGGGTGTTCGATCTCAATTTCGCTTACCCAGATTTTATATATACAAAAAGTAAGCCAACTCTTTCAAAAACAAACTCGCATCGAGACTGATTGTTTTCTAGATGGAAATTTCCATTGCTCTTATTGTGGTAACCATGAAGCTAGCAATGGTACACACAAGATAGAGACCAGTTCCTAGATGAAATCATCCTCCCCGATGGCCCCGCGACGGGATGCAAACGGAAATGAAGACCAGCATGCAAAAGAATAGTCTCAGTCAAGCATCATGGTCCAGTTCAGTATAGTGGTGATGATATTCCTTGCCTGACTGATCTTCGCCACCACTATCGTGTTCCAGGAGATCTTTGTGGCCATCACGCAGTGCAGAAACTGAAAGAAGGCTGTCTCTATTTTCCGGCCGGATCGTCATAACAAGCTGCACAGCCGGCAGATAATGGAGAACAACTACGACGACGGTTGCGCCAACTGGGACCCATGGGGGGGAAAGACCTGGCAGGCGTGCCGTTGGCAGTATCTGGTACGAAGCAGATGCGTCACTCGATCTTGGGAGATATCAATGATGCTGCATGAACATAAGGCCGCCGACTTCTTCCTCTCCGGGTTCTGAGAGTTTGTCGACATGTGAAAACTCTCTATGCTGGTTTTCGGGACCGCGCTCTCTTTCACGACGGATTTGTGGGTGTTGTTCGAAACGAGGAACTTTGCAGAGTGGTTTGTGGTGGGTGCTGCGTTGTCGTTCATCAAGCTGGTCTGTCGCTAGGTGTCTTCCATGAGGTCAATATCTGGTGCAAAGGGATGCCTGGGCAGTCCGAGGTATGCGACCTACGTCTCAGACTCTGTGCCCGGCTTACCGATATGCTGGATTTGCGAACTTTCTCTAGAGCAACAATTCTCATGTAATGTTAGTCTTGTCAAGATGATCGGATGCGAATGGTTCCCCTCCGGGCTCAATATGACCCATTCCGATATCGTTCTTGTTGCTCTGTTGAGTCATTCCAGTTCTCCTGCATCAACCTTAGCGGGACTCGTCAGTTATGTTGCCCACTATGACACAGAAGCCTAGATAACGGGCAGTATTGCTCTACAGCCCAGAATACGTACCGATCAAAGAAGAAAATTCGCCGATTTGCGGGCACCTTATCGTGCCTGATGTCCCTCGGCGCCTCCGTAACGAGCACGACAAGGCCCGTGGCCAAATTGGCCCCGACAGTCTCTGCAGCTCATACGAGGCTGAGATACAATTGACCATCCTTCCCATGGACAGCTTTATCTCAACCATAGTCAATAGACTCCCATGACGTCCTCTGCATCCACATATGGGCGTTGGCTTCAAGTTTTGGATGCACAGAGCCAAACTCAAACTCAAGCTGGCGTGTAAGCGCAAAGAACTTCCAAACGTGTATATTGTCTTTGTCTTGTCCTCAATCGCAGGGAGAAGCAGCAATTAAAAGCAAGAAAGAAATGAACCCCTCTGACTACTTATCCTCTGGGTGTGCCGGTTGATCGGGAGCAGTCAGTCAACTCGAGGTAATGAAGCGGTAACGAATTGCATCCGACCTTTCGTTTTCACATCTCTCAATTCTCATAGGACGGCTTCTACGCAAGACATCATCTGTCCATCGTGTCTTTCAGACTACATGAGATGTCAAGAACACTTTCTCGCAAACGACCAATTCCCTTCAAATTCAGGGTCTGCGCACTGCTGTCCTTACATTCGGGGTCTGTTTCCACGCAGATAAAACACGATTGCCTGCTCAGAAGCGAGGTGAAGATACTTGAAGACTCCAGACACTGAATAGGTTGGCACAGCTCCTTGACAATGACTGAGGAACAATATATATCCCCGGGACCCTTGTGCGTGTTCTTAGGGTAAATAGTGAGCATGCGTGACGTCTTTGACAACTTCTTTCACCTCAGAGCGCGTCGGATAAACGCCATCGCTGTCAACTACGTTCTTGAATGAACTCCATACGAAGATAAGGGCCATGTTTCATGAGGTCCAGTCTCATGGAGAGACTGTGGCCTCTTCGGACGAAGGGGCCCAGAGCACTGATCCGGAGAATTACCGGAAGATAGACACATGGCCCCAGGACCTCATCACCTCGCATGAGACGCATTCAAATTCCGTCACTATCATCAAAAGAGAGCTCTGATTCAGAGACTGGGGTCTTGGGGCCATGAAATGAGCTCCATGAAAAGATAAGGACCATGTTCCATGAGGTCCAGTCTCATGGAGAGACCGTAGTTTCTTTGGACAAATGAGCCCAGACCATTGATCCGGATAATTACCGGAAGATAGATCCATGTCCCCAGGACCACATCAACTCACTTCTGAAGGCTTGTCCAAGGACAACACCGTTGCAATCTAGTGACCTTCTATATTGAGGTTGAAGAATTACAACCGGTTCATGTCAAGTGGGGTGTCTAATTGAGGAAGTTAGCAGACATATGAGAGAGGAAGGAGATCAGGCAGTCGGCCACTGAGATATGAGATACATTCAATAAGAAAACAGATCAAATGATATAAAAACAATCTTAATAAAAACGAACCTTTAGAGGAGTTTAGCTATGTCCATTATGAGTGAGCATGACTATTTGCAGGGTTCAATCGACCTCTAGCAACACAACGTTCATAAACACAACTAATGCTATGGTCAGTGGGCATAAGACACTACCCGGTTTGACTAGTCACAGGATGTAGCAACGTCCATTTGATCAAATTAATGTTTGCTGGGAATTCCCGAAACATAATCCCACTGAACACACTTTGTCCATCCCCTTTTGCCAGCAAACAAAGTCTTCTCATCTTGTGTATCTGTGACCGTAGGCAGACGACAACTACAGTTGCTGGGTCTAGATATGGTCTATTCCTCCTTGAAGGGTAGTTCTTCTTTTGGCATAGCTTTCCAATAGCCTATCGAAACCATAGGATTAGCCACTCAGATGTCTTCCACTATTTTTCTATTGTAGCACCATTCTCATACTTACCCCGATATTCCTCGCCTGCCGCAATGACGGCATTCCGGGTACTATTTAGATTGGCATTCGCTTGCTTAATATGACCTTCTATGGCCTTCTTGTTTTCGTACGCGGTTTGATACGTCTAAAGGACATGAAGTCGAGCCTCAACTGCACTGTTTATGAGAGAGGTTGATTAGATAGATGTAATCTTCTCATATAAGAATAAGATGATGAGTTGACACTCAAAGTCAATAGATAGGGTCAAGGGATGTTCGAGATGGCAAGAAAGGAAGTTCAATCGTACCGGAGCGCCGCTTGGCCCCATTCATAGGCAATCCTCAGGCGTTCTAGTTGGACTTTGGAGGTGTATAAGGTCTGATCTTTGCCGCTGTTATGAAGAGAATTGTTGTAAGCCACCCTCTTCGAGTTAATCTCTGCGACCAACGCCTTGTAGTGGGCATGGGCGTCTATAAGGTCCTGCGGCCATGGATCCTTTCTGTATGCTTCTGGGTCCACAGTCTCAACCCATGCTTCTAGGGCCGAGATGGTGGACCCGTTTTCTCGCACCTCATACAACATCTCTCGGATCATGATATGGAGCGTGTTCAGAGGTCTAGGAACCTCAGGCTCGGAATCCGAGTCTGAGAGCGAAATATTCGAATTGGTCATTATGGCTCTCTTCAACGATGGTAGTAGGTCCTTTTCGATGCTAGTAAGTAGAATAGGATTTGCATAGATTTTGCTAGCAAGTATTTGGATTGTTCAGTAAAGAATACAGGTGGGATGACAGCAAATGTTCTATGGAAATTTCGAAACAGTATGTGAATAAACAAAAGAGTGAAGCCAAAGACTAAAAGTGAATTGAAATGAGAAAATACTTCGACTTTTTGTAGTTGGGAAAAGTTAGGAGCCCAGGCCATGTTCTGGATGAATTGGAAACACCGGAGAACATAAGGCATATACCGAATTCGACTGATGCAATCTTAATATTCTATCTGAATACTCAGTAGTGCGTAGTGCGTAGTGGTTAAGAATCTTCAAATATCTGTGTTATTCTGCGGCAGCGCCCGGCAGTCACTCCAGAATATGAGCATTGACGAGTGAACTATAGCTCATTGTTCTCTGGGCCATGGATTTTCCCACGAAATAATCGATATTCCATACGCGTTTTGCTTTCAGCCGCGATTTCTGGGGATAGGACCCCGAACTAGTAGTATAATACATGGCATTTACAGTGAATTGAATAGTATCAAAACCGGAAAGAGCTACTGACTCATAGCTACTGAGAACTGGACCCCTCTATGAATTTTTACTCATTTCAGCCCCTCGTTGTAAAGTGTTGGCAGGGCCTATCCAGCTGCTCCTGGCATTTACCGATAAATCAGGTATTACTACGCATCATCGGTGGCGCTTGTCATCGAGCGAGAGCATAAAGATCAAGGACCCCACCCTTACTTCATTCTCAGACTATTTTCTGGAAATGACCCAGAGGACTGAAGAGTGCCCATCAACTTGGAATCTTCTTTTTCCCTTGCACACTCTTGCCACTATGGCTTCGATCATGGAGACCATCGTTACCGACAAAGTCATCCACCAAGCCCCGGCTATCAACACAGTCCTACTCGAAGCTTCAAATACAGACGACTGGAATCTTTCAGGTGAATCTAAAAGCCTACCATCAGATCACTCAAGCCCCGCGAACCTGTGGGGAATCCTACTAGCAGATAGTTCAAAACCCTCAGACGTGTCTGAAATCATACTAGCAGATGACTCGAAACTCTCGGACTTTTCCGAAAGCATACTGACAGATGATTCGAAACCGTCGGACTTGTCTGGAAGCGTACTTCCAGATGACTCAAGTCTATCGGAACTATCTGAAAGCCTACCCACACATGACACTTGCTATTCGCACTCACATACACACCTTGAGGCCCTCCCAGCTGAGATTCGATTCCAGATCCTCTCCTTGCTGGGATACAAAGGGCTCAAAGCTTTGGTTGAAGCATCGTCCATCTACCATGAACAGTACCTTGTCGATTGCGGGCTTCTTCTCTTTGGCTGCCTGGAAAATACCCCGAGTAGCCTGATCTTCGAAGCATCTGTTGTCCATGAGACTGGCTCACTAGCCTTTTCTGAAGCACGCACCTCCGACAACATCCTTCAATTTTGCCAGTCTCTCAAGGAGCGGCGCTCGTCGTCCAAGTTCTCTAATTTAACAGAAGATCTCACTAGAGAAGATGCCAAGGACATGATGGCCTTCCATTTTGATGTGATAAAGCCTTTTGCAAAACACTATGCTGAGTGGGCACTGAGCAATTTGGCAAAGGAGCCGGAAGCGTCACATACCAAGGTCGATGAGCCTCTAAGTGAGTCTGAGGAATTCAGGATCATCCGCGCCCTTTATCGCTTCCAGATTTGCTGCAATCTGTTTGGCCTTGGCCCTCACCAAGACCATGTTAGTGGCGACTATCAGAGCTACCTGTTTGTAAAAATTCGCAAAATATGCCAGTTTCTTGAGAGTCTCTATCACCCCTGGGAATTGGAGGAGTTATACAGCATCAATCTTTTTGCGGAAGGGAAATGCACAGAATTCATCAAGTCTATCGAGTGGGACTTTCATGAAGACAATCCCAGGTTCGACCGCCAAGGGAGACCATGTACCCCGGATGGTGCAATCGATATTCGCAGTCAGTACTCCCCTAGTTCCAAGACTTTGTTGCCTTGATTTGTGACACACAGAATATTCGGGAGGAAACTAATCTGATCACAGCTTACGATGACTGCTACATGAGGGGAATCCTTACACGAGGCCTCAGATTCCTCCACAAGATCATGTACGAGATACAAGACCACATGGAGGTAGTCCGCATTATGGAGAATAACTTGGTTATGTTATGGCCCGAATTTCTGGGTGGGTGCCACGGAGCTCTCGATATTACTACAAGACACGATCGCCGCCTCGATTACCCGTCGGCCGAGGACAAGAGAGAGGAGCTGAGAGATCCATTGCCCTTTCGAGGTGATATTGTCAACAACTCGGACGGAGAGTACCCGCCACTGGCGTGGACAATACTATGGGAAGGAACTTACAGTAATATGCTGGGAGGTGAGGGTGTGTCGTATATTGCGGAATGGGGCTACGTTATGTGGGATGCAGCGCGGCTGGAACGCACCGGTGCGAAGGAAGTGTTGGCAAGGAGGTGGCGTGAAAGGTTACGGTTATCATTGGGTGAGGACCCAAGGGAATACAACGATAGATACCTAGCTCTGGGATAGGAGTATCTACATGCACCCATGTTCACTGCCACTTTTATCTTTGAGCTCTACACAATGGAGACGGCAATATGCCTGAGGCCCCTCTTAAACAAAGTAGACTACACTAGCTCCGTGTGTGATGCATAAGGGTTGCAAGACCTCCTTCTATACTTCTGGGCCAACCAACCACGGAACTACCTAGCTCTTTGTATAACCATTAGCTAGCCTAATTTCTATGTAACTTGGCGGGTCAAGACGACTGAAGGAGGACAGGATCTGGATGCCGACCGACGGTAAGTAGCGGCCATGATGCAAAGTGATCTTTGATGAGGTGACGCAACAGGTGGACATAGGGTCTATAAAGCGCTAGGCAACACTGATTGTATACTCCGATGCTCGCTAACTACGCTAATTACAGCCACACGGTGGACAAACTGGCTCTGCTACTGGCATCGGTGCAACAGCCGCTTTATTGTGCCTGATTGTCGATCAGCGGGCGGGTGTAACACCCAACGGAAGCACGAGACCCGTCATTGCTTCAAATTACATTTGCACCTTATATGTAGAATAATAGATGCTAAATTCTTCATCCAATTTAAGGCCTATAGTGTATTCTATACTATAGTCTCCTAGATGACTGCTAGGAATTGACTCATCTGGGCAGTGCAGAACAGTGGAATGATTGACTTTGGTCGGCTGACGTTCCCCGGCACATACTGCGGTGACATAAGCAACACCGAAGATGCGGGGTAACCCCCCCCCCCCCCTGTAGACGCCAGGGAGCAACAAGCTGAGAGCTCCCTTTATAACACTGAGCGAGGTACCTGCTCGGTCCACATTCTTCTCCTCATTCACACCACTATTACCAGCTGCGCGGGACCGCACCCATTTACCATAACTACACTCTCTACTCATCCACACCTTTCATAGCCCGTATCTATTCCAGAGATAACTCCCCCTCTATCAAGCGAATCTCCCCTCACCGCCACATCACATGCATCACATCGCCAAACGGCCGATTGTGAGGTCAAAATTGTGTGCGGGGTCACTTTTGGGCCAACATACCAGGCGCTATTCATACGTTCCTTGGTCCTGTCCGTGGACTCTACGACATATGAAATATGAAATTCGCGATAACCATAACACGATCGCCTTGCTCCGTCAATGGTTCGACACTATAGATCCTAAAACCTATCGCAAACAAAATCCGTGGTCGGGGGAGCTCACCGACGCTTATGAGCATTATAAGTACCTCGACAAGATCTTTATTCAGAGAAAGGCCATCTACATGAACGAGCCGTTGTTGACATTGGAGGCCACTCCTGATCAACATGTGAAGTCGATACAGTTGGCGATCGAATGGGGGGAGGCTGCTCTTAGGTATTCTACATTGTCTCCTCTGTCCATGTGGGTGTGGTGACGCTACTCGCCATCATGGCAATCTTACAATAATGCTAATGCATTTGGTCCAACGCAGCTCGGCCAAGGCGAGAATTCATGTTCTTGCAAACTATCGAAATGCCTATGACGTCACAGTTATCCACTCGCACATAGAAGAGGCAGAAAGACATCTCTTCAGCGCCATGAGTGCACTGCGCGAAGCAAGAACGAACTTCCAAGGTACGATCTTGACCATGAATATTGACTACATTGCATGGCTAATAGGCCTGGTTGTACAGTAGCAAAAAGCGACTACAAGTTCCCTTTACCTTCGGTTCTATGCCAGCCTGATCTATACCCACACTATTCAACATCCTTCATTGACCTGTGCTTGGGGGTCCATGTTGATCCCACAGTATAGCCAATGCTGTGTTAGCTCTTTCACTCTTTTGCTTCTTCCTTATGTCTCCTCACGACCCTAATCTTTCTCTAGCCGGCTGTTGATTTCCTTTGTTTATGCATAGATTCCCTCGCGCACATCTGAGATGTGAAACGTGCAAGTCACGTTGTGCTATTTGTTTGTGTTCAGTCACGCTGTCATGATCTGCATTGCTCTGAGCTGGTTCTTGAATCCTTTAGCGCTGTTGTCCCTGACCTGGGTCATTTCATCAAATTTACATACTCTTCTGATCACGTCGCTCACGAGCTCGGTGCTTAGTAAATCCGAGATTTTTGTGTTAATCATTTCATGGCTCTTTCTATTTTCGAAACATTTTCCCGATAAAGAAAACGTAGCGAGTGCTTGAGTTGGAACTCCGGTCAGTTGGGTTCACCGGTGCACACTTACAATGGTCGCGTACGTTCCTCCTCCCTCAAAGAAGCCATTAAGGATGTCAAGTACCTCGTCATTTTAACATCAATCACCAAATAGGCTGAACGAAGTCATTACAGCGACTACAAGTTCACTTTTCTACCTGTCAATTCGCATCTCGAAGTTTATCGAAGGGCAATCTTGCGACCGGTTAGTCACATGCGGGGGGCGTGGCGCAGTCTTCATTCACTAAAAAAAGGTAGCCCATCAGTCGGCCTTGACAGCTTTCCCCTGCTTATTATCTCCGTGTCACCTCTCCACAGTCTATAAATCATTCGAGAATTGATCGACGCCACTTCTGCACATGCAACAAGAATCCAATACAAAAAACATCATGAACAATCCCACTGTAGCAGACCCCACCCCACACACCTCAAGAAGAAATCAAACAACAGCCAACGCAGCAATCACCTTCCCTCTCTTCCCCTTTCTCCCCGCCGAACTCCGCCACCAAATCTGGCAATCTGCCCTTCCCGAACCCACACACCCTCCTTCAGCCTTACTCCCCCACAGAAAAGGTTGCTGGGTGGCCGAACCCATCCCCTACACAGGAGAGCCAGGCCAAGTCAACGACCCCAATGGCAACTACGAGATAGTATTCGACATGAGCCTTCTGGACCACGTACAGATTCATACTCCTTTACTGCACGTGAACAGCGAATCGCGTGCCATTGCACAGAAATGGGCGCGGCGTATATCAGCTCCACGAACGAACCGCCTCAACGAACAACAACAAACCCAGGCTCAAATGTGCCAGGATGGTCATAGTAGCGAATATATACCCCCCTTCTCTCGCCAATTCGATATCGACAGCGACTTTCTCTACCTCGTCCCGGACAATATTGTGGATTTGATCCTCGGGGCAGGAGACCGTCTGGAGCAGCCCGATATGAATGGCAAGGCAGCAAGGGTGGTGTTTTCGTTGCCGTTAGTGGTTGTGAGTGAGGAGGTTATCTGGCTTGAGGATGAGGCGCTTGTGGAGGAAATCATGGAGCTGTTTTCGATCATGGGACCGGTTTATATTGTAGTGGGGGAGCAGCCGAAGTGGAAGGAGGGCGGGGTGCAGAGATGGTGGGATGTGGAGTTGGTGTCGAGGAGGGCGTTTGTTTGGCAGTGGATGGAGAGTCGATTTGTGGAAACGGTCGAAGAGAGGTTTGGGAGTGATGAGGTGCATGAGGTGCATGAGAGGATTGTGCAATGGTGTGAGTGGATGGGGAGGGTGTTGACGAAGATTAATAGAACGAGATTTGAGATGGGGGTGGTGAGGGTTGTTAGGAGGTGATTGATACCTTGCCATGTGCATGACTTTTCATAAATTCATCTCATTATAATGTACCTGATACCCTGCCTGATGGCTATAAAAGCTCCATGATCCATGAACTCGGGTCGGGCCGTCTTCCGAGCCAGGGATGCGATTCGATAATATTTAGTAGTCTACCTTGCACAAAGTACAGGATGTATCTACGATGTACATTCATCATATTAAAAGTATCATCCATACGCAGTAGCCATCACTCATGCACAGCTGACATGTAGGTCGGAGAAACGTAACAACCATCACAGTACATGCTCACCTGAACCAAAACAGAGAATATCCCTCATTACCTCCATTACTCAAACAACACTTTCACAAAGTAATACTCCGTACCCCGACTATGGTCCCAGGCTGATAAGCATAATCCCAAATCCAATCTAGACTGAGTATGATGTCATGCATTCTACAAAGTAACTAACTAATGCCTGCATACCTTCTTTACCAGATAGTAGTAAACTCCTAAATCCGTTGGACGTCCGCCAACAGCAATTTATCAATGCGCGAAGGATTTCATTTCCGCGCCGCTGATTAACATAAGCATCTAGCCCGATCTACAAAGTTACACAGCCTTAGTAATATAAACCGGACACGGATACGGACAGGTACAACGGGTGGGTAGTAAGTACACGGAGCTTAGCATAAACCCCGACCCACCCGCTAATCTCCTCCCGATCGGAGCGGAGGTATGCGGTGATAAGTGTCGGTGTTATCACTACTACCTACTTTGCTTACTTTCAGACCATTGACTGACATAGTATAAATACTCATCTCGACCCATTCCATCTTTCATTTAAAATCTAAATACTAATTCTCGTTCTCTAACCAACCAACCAACCAACCAAACTACTAAGTACCAACAATAGAAAGAAAAAAGAAAATGTCCCAAATCCTCATCACCGGCGGCACCGGCTTCCTCGCCAGCACACTAATCGACATCCTACTCTCCCGAGGCCACAACATAATCACGACCGTGCGGAGCGCCGAAAAAGCCTCGCAGGTACAATCCATCCGTCCTGATATCCCGCCGCACCGACTCGTGGTGAAAATCGTCCCGGACATCTCCCTCCTCTCGGCATTCGACTCCGCCGTGGTCAATGACCCTCCACTCACCGGTGTAATCCACACAGCGAGTCCATTCCACTACAGCATCGACAATATCAAGAAGAACATGTTAGATCCAGCTGTTAATGGCACTATCGGGATATTAAGTTCCGTGCAAAAGTACGCACCTACGGTGAAAAAAGTGGTGATTACGTCGTCGTTCGCGGCGATGTGGAATCCCCATAAACCTGCGGGGAGCAAGTACTCGGAGAAGGATTGGAATACCGTTTCGTGGGAAGAGGCGGTTAGTCCAGCGAATGCGCAGGGGCAGGCTGGGTATCGGACGAGTAAGGCGCTGGCGGAGCGGGAAGCGTGGAAGTTCATGGAGCGGGAGAAGCCGGGCTTTGGGTTAAC